GATCCATGAAGACACGCAAACCATCACACCGCCTCTAGGTGCAGTCTCGTTGTGCTGGAGACACCCACTCTTGACCATACTGGGCCTTTCAGATATTGTACTTAGTGCCCGAAATGTACTCCTCAACTAGCATCGACATCGAAGTTTCGGGCTATTGTCATGCATAAGCTCATTGAAAATCAACGTAGTTGTGTTAAATGTGCCTGTTTTCTCCCTGTATAAGTCTAAATTCATTGCCATTTTTCCGTTATACCTTGGAAAAGCGTATGGGTTGATCATACCACTTTTCATCTGGTAACATTTACAGTACAGTCACACATGGAACACAGTTTGGCCCGCAAACGGATGGGCATTCTTGAATTGATCATCGATTTACCTCCAGGACATCAGTTAACTGTTTTCTACAAGTTCAGACGAATTTTGCAACACTGGGACGAGTATCCACCCGATGCTAACCACGGATATTTCCTCCCTGCGGCAACAGTATCCTATCAAATCCCACATGAACGGCTTTTTGCCGTAGAAGCCAGAAGACTACCAGCAGATCGTGAATTGGCCTTACCCAACTGGGCCCATACTTACGGTCAATACTTGTAAGTAATCGTTCATTTTCTATGTTTTTCTAGAGGTACTTGAAGTACCCTATGCATCACTCACAGTGAATATATTACTATTTGCATCAACTGTTTCTCTCCCTCTTTTTTAAATGCATCGAGATCTCCACTTTCGCCCAGCTGACACATCCATTTCTATGACCATAAGTTCTGAGGCTGTCCACAGAATGGTTTTTTCGTCGCTCGTCCTATCTCTATCTTTGTGTCCCTGAAATGCATTTTACAATCATTGATTGTGTAACAGGAAATCATTGAGAAATTCAGATAGTCGAATTTGTGAACCAACCTCTGTACATGAAATATTTGGAAAGTTCAATGAAGTCTATGCAATTCATGAAATGTCACTCCCGCGATGGAACCACAGGTCTTTTCTTGTCGCATGTAACCACAGGTTCTCGTATTTGTATCTAATTGTTTCGCAACTCCTCTGAATACGAGGTTGCCATCATGATAGAGTTGCACCTTGACGCCGTTTGATGCCTTGTGCGCTTCTTTAGCCTAACAAGGTTCACAGGATTTGTGTTATTAATCCTAACTCTAATCGTGCCTATAAGGTCAGAGGGTAGAGGTCAGTCTAAGTCTAGTCTTCTCGTCCTCCATTTTGGAGTTTCGACTAGAACTTGCGTTCCAGTCTGTAAAACGTGATTGAGGAGTAATTGATTCAAGTAAATGGGCCTCCCATCCACCTTGTCAGAAGTCCTATCGTTCTCTGATGAAGTGATTGGATTCCCCGACAGTACGCGTCCCTAAAGGTCCAATGCACACAAATCAAAAATAATCCCATACTGCATCGGTTGTCGCGTATGATAATTAAGACCATGTCTCTCACAGCATCGAGCAGGTCGGAGAGTAATAAGTGGGCTACTGCACAGACATCCCAACCTTAGTTTAATTATTTGTCTTTTATACCCAATTCTATCCTATTGCCCCTTCTTCCGATCCGTAATATCCCACTTATTCGACTTGTTAGTCACTCGCCAAATGTCGTTGCCAAATAGCACTGTAAATAGAGTGCAGATTTTGAAACCTCATCAACCTCTCAATCTGAGGGCCGTCAACGTGATGGCTATGTTGAGCGTTCAATCAACACTTTGGAGATTCGTGTCTGTTATTTATAGGAGATATCAATTGTGGTGTAAAGCACCTGAGCGCGCTGGGTCTGTCCCCGAGGTACTTCCCTCGCACGTACGGAAACGATGGAGCCCGCCCATTTGCTTAGCTTAGAGTGCGAAATGAGGCTCCGGGGTTCAGTTAGTATTCGGAAGGGCAGCAATACCAAAAGGGGTTTGCTCATCACTTCTGCACTTGCACCAACCACCTGCAATCCTACTTCACAAAGGATGAATTCTACGACAAACTCGCTTAACTCACTTGATTAAGCCGCATCTCTGATGTAGTGCTGGGAGATGAATTTAGCGCTCAGGTTGGAAACCAGCGTATCCAAAGCCTGTCTAGGAGGGCACTTCGCTCTTCCCGCCCAGCGAACAGACAGCGGTGATCGATTACTTCATTTCTGTGCGGATCATCGGTTGTTCTTATCTAGCACCAATTATCGAAACAGCTCTCGTCGAACAGCTGCATAGTGTTTAAGTTCAGCGGGAAAGTTGACCATACGGCTGTAAGCGACCGTTTTTCTCTTTATTAAAATTATTGTACCGTGATTTGTTTGCGTTGTCTTGCCAAGACGATATGATCGATACGAGCGCCTCTTGACTAAGCCCGACAATTGGAGAGAGAACATGGTTGAGAAACGACAGTCAAAGTATATTACTGATCATAAAGCAATACGCAAATATATGTGGCAATTTATGCGTACGAGAATCAACGTAGTGACGCACCAATCAGGTTCCGACCTTGATACTCCGATCGGACGACAGCTGTCTGATTCGCCTTAGTCATCCCATCCGACATCGACTCGGCCGGGGCGTCACGAACGCACTTATGGTGTGACGCGCATCGATGGCGTGGCCGGACGGATTCTGTGCTCTCCGTCCTAACAGTTTGGGACACAGTCTGGCCTCAGACGAGTGTGAGATAAAAAAGCTACGGTTGGTGTGGTTCAGTACAAAATTATAGATCCTCTTGAACCACCTACGGATCGTGCACCAGTTGTAATGTGCTTCACGCTTCGACCCACCTGTCATTATCACAATCGCCTCTTCGGTTACCTCATCATCGTCTGCGCGATCCATTGATCTGCGCACGTTATGAGGAGAGGCTGGGACAGAAATTAGGAGAACCGCGACATGGTGGAGTGCATCAGTTATGGGATCAAATTAAATATGCGATGTGTTCGCGCAAAACTTCTTTATAGGACCGAGCCCGAAGTCCGTCGGAGACATCGGATCCAGTCTTCAAAAAGGGATCGTCCGTTGTCTGTTCAGACCACCGTGATATTCAGCTTTACCCTGCTGCGAGGATAGTGACATCGATTAACTCCCAGGTGGCAAACTGTCTGACGTAGAGTATGCAGACGACATTGTGCTACTAAGTGAAGATCCCAGTAAGTTGCAAGCTTTTCTGGACAGTTTGAGTNAATCCGAGATTACGATCCTACGACCAGCCGTCGAGCTCAAAAGGGGGAGGTGTTAGGACGGAGCCTAAGAAACCCGTCCGATCGCGCACGCCTCCGAGTCAGGCCACACGCACGCTCGCAACGCTCCAGACAGGCTGAACCTGATTGGATGATCACAGAACGTATCAGCCAATGTTTGTCCAATCGATCAATCGATATGTCAAGGGCACTATCTGATTGGTGCGTCACTGCGCCGTCCTCGTATGCACGATTAGTTCTATATCTTTTGACATATCGATAACTTATCGAAGAATACACGCTGACTGTGTCGCAACTTGTGTTCTCTCTCCGCGTTGTCGTTGGGGGTTAAGCAAGAGTCGCTCGTGCCATTCGTACGCATAGACAAAACACAACACGAACCGTCCGGTTTTAGACCTGGTCGAGGTTGTATCCACCACATCTACACTCTTCGCCAAATTTTGGAGCACCGACATTCCGTTCGTAGATCCACCATTTCTATCTTATTCGATCTGAAAGCGGATTTCGACTCAGTCGACCGCTCTAAACTCCGGTGTTGCATCGATCGTAAGGGTGTTTTTATTTCAATATTACGATCCATTCATACCAATCGCCGAAGTCAAGTTCAAGCTTACGGCACTTATTTGCCCGAGTTCACCACGCGAAGTGCTGATCGTCAGCGTTGCCCCCGCTCTCTGTGCTATTCACCTTTGTTATAGATCTGATAATGGAAACATAAGTATCCTCATGCGAGGATAGTGACATCGATTAACTCCCAGGTGGCAAACTGTCTGACGTAGAGTATGCAGACGACATTGTGCTACTAAGTGAAGATCCCAGTAAGTTGCAAGCTTTTCTGGACAGTTTGAGTGCTAGTGTATCCATGTTCGGTATGCGTTTTGGAACTTCGAAGTGTAAAATGCTACAACAAGATTGGGTTGGTCCAACACCCAGTCTCACGTTGACTGGGGAAGCAGTAGAGGAAGTGGATATGTTTTGCTATCTGGGCAGCTATATCTCACCTGGTGGACGCATCTCAGATTAAGTGTCGGCGCGCATACAGAAGGCTCGGTTGGCATTTGCCAAATTGAGACATTTTTAGCGCCGTCGCGACATCCGGCTTTTTGTGAAGGGCCGAGTATATGCTGCAGCAGTTCGGCCAGTTCTGCTCTACGATGCAGAGATTTGACCGCCACGGAAACGATAAAAATAGATCGTCGATCTGCGAACTCCGCTGTGTACGGCCGTTGGGGTAACCGGAAAAGCAATGCTGAGATTCGGCGTAGAGCCTAGGTAACCGCGGTCATCCACTGGATGAAGTGATAGACCTCCATAGAGTAAGTTGGTTTGGGCATGTATTACGCATGTCACCAAATTGGTTGCCACGGCGAGCGATATTCGCCGACGCAGGTTGTGGGTGTAATTAACCCACGGATGTTCAAGCTAAGACCCGATATGAGGCTATGAAAACCCTAACCAATATTCTTGGTCATGTAAGTCCAGTTAGGCTTCCTGACTGGGGACCGCGGGATGACGATTAGAGGCACTGTGTCGTACACAGTAGCGGTCGTGTATCTTCTCAATTTCTTTTTTTCATCAGTCCACTGAAATTCACCATTATCTCTTTGACTCTACTTTCAACTTTCCTGTCGTTCGTCTACTGTTCATTCAAAAAGGGGAACTAAAAGACAGCAACCAAAACCAGCGCACGAACGTGCATGGTGAATGACTCTACAAACTGAAATTCGAAAACTGGGTGGGTGTCTCGGGTTCCTACCGGTCACCCTTCCGTTGCATCTAACGAAAGGCCCGTGTACCACCAAGCATCTGTTGAAGAAGCCTTATTCGCTGCCTTCTCGTTGCGGTGTTTTCCCACTGAAGTCAGAAGAGGAAAATCGAACGTCGGTGAACCCCTGGCAGTTCATCTAGGGGACCTGCCCAAAAATCTTGATTTCAAACCAACCAAGAATAGACGGGTATGAGCCCCTAGCACGTTAATCTTTTTGGTTGTGGCAGTGGCCATTACCTCAATTGGACATCGAGGTTTATTGTGTACCCTGAACGTAGGACTGTCCAAAGAGTGTATGAGCCAGTGACTACTGCCAGCCTGAGAGTCTAGAGCATCCAACCAGTGCCAGTTTTGAGGTTAACATCTTCATCGTTCACGTCCAGGTTATTCGTTGTTCATCTTGTCGCCGCTTCCAGTTAGTGCCTGCTTGCGCAAACATAACGCGATGGGGCGGTAGTTGAGCCGGCATCTGCAATACATGTCCTAGCCATCGAAGTCTCTGGAGCGAGATGACGACACTCAGAGGACGACTGAGGCGAAGATTCTTCCGCGAACCTCGTCGTTATTGATTCGCTGTTGGCAACGTATTCTGGTGATACAAGGAAGGCAATGGTGGTCAAAGACACTTAATCTCTGTGAGTCTTCAGCGTGTGGTGGGGGAGCAACTCTCACAGCCTTAGAGTAACACAAGGCGTACTGTGGCATTGTAAACGCAGCCTTTCAAGGAGAGACTGAGATCGTGTCGGCTCCACAAGTGACGTAGGTTAGCGAAAGCTACTGGAGGATACGCGCTTATATTTCTTCCGTTAGTCCTTTTGGGCTGAAACAAATCCAGAGATAAGTAAGGTGATCGACGATTTCCAACTGGTCGTTCATGAGCGCGAGAACAGGTGTATCCTCTTCCCAGTCTTGTAGTAAGACCTTACATTTCGATGATGAAAAGGTTATATTAAACTGCGTAACGAACACTGTTAAGTTACATAGGTCGTTTTGTGTGTCTTGGGAGGAGTCTCTGAGTGTAACTATGTTGTCCGCAGATTCTAAGTCACGTAGTCGATCATCTGGGAGAAGCTCCACACCGGGAGGTCTGCAGTTTTCTAGAGCACTTCTAATGGTTTTGTCTTTTGCGAAATTGAAGAGCAAAGGCGAACACGGGCACCCTTGTCGGACTCCGCTCGTGATGCTAAACAAGGGGGAGATGCAACCANAGAGGCGGCCTGATGTTTCTGAGTAGACGGCTTTGAGAAGGTTTACGTACTTCCCAGGCACACCGCTTGCTAATAGACAAGTCTAGAGAGCTGCACTGTCAAACGCAGCATGTCTGTTCAAGAAGACAATGATAGTCGATCTACTGGACGTTTGAAGTTGATCCAGAATGTGTCGAAGCCTAAACCTGTGATAAACGCAGCTCCGGCCGGAGCGGAATCTAGCTTGTTCTTCGCGAATGTGACACACTCTCTCATTCAATTGAGCCTGCGAAGGATCAACGAAGGTGAGACTAATCCCTCGGTGATTCGAGCAATCGTAGCGGCAGCCCTTCTTGAAAACGGATACGATGTCCACCAGACTCCATTCGAATGGTATGGATTCAGTATTCCAGATGGCTTGAAACAAAGGAGTTAGTTCTCGGACAAAGCTTGCACCACCGCTGGAGGGAGCTCATCTGGGCCGGGCCATTTGCTCTCGAGAGACTTCGTCCTCGGTAGGCGAAGAAATATCCGCAGACCATGGAACACTGGTGATGATACCGATTTTGAACTGAATTACTGAAGGCAGTACTCCGCTCAGCGCCCAAGACGACTTCGTAGATTGTGAATACATTCGCCATTCATGTATGGCTTCACTGACGCATGACTTTTTGCTAACGGTGGCTCGAATTAGTCGAAAAAGTTTGTGAGCATTACCAGAAACAGACGCTAGTTCCATCTGGAAAGCGCGTTGTGCCCACCAGGTCTCTCGATCCTCTTTTAAGAGCCTATTCAGTTCAGCACTGAGAGTTCTGCGAACTGTGTTGTATTCATTACCTGGAGGGATGCTTCGACGAGTGTCAAGCAGTTCGAGGGAACGAGCCGATACTCGGTAGTTGACGGTGCGTTTGGTGAAGACACATGCAATGGTGGCAGACTTATGCATGGCGTTACGGATGTGAGCCCATAGGCTATCAACGTTCAAGGATGGCAGACTGTCTAGATCAGCTGCTAACGTATTTTGGAAGCGGTCACTGAGTTTAGGTTGGTCAGTTTCACCAAATCGAGTCTTTTTGTATGACGTTGCTGTTTTCCACCAAAGCGCACAGAGAATTTCGCGAGTGCATGATCAGAGCTGTGGTAGATGCTCCAGATGGATTAGCGGTCCGTTACGGAATTTCTCCATCGACGACTGATATCAATATGATCTACTTGAGTCCAAAGCTGATCAAACGATGGAGGTCGCCAAGTAAAAATTGGTATTTGAAAGAAAAGACCATATTCAGCTCAGATTTGCGGAAGACAGCCGCCGTTGCCAGTTCTCTTAACACCGAGGCTATGCTGGTCCACTTGCGTGTTCACGTCGCCGGCTAGTATCACAATATCAGTGTATCGTCCACTATGGAGGAGGCTGGTGAACTGATAGTAGAACTCATCTTTTGTTGCATAGGGACTGTAGTCTGTGGGCGCAAAAGCCGCTATGACGAACAGATGGTCTTTGGTCCTATCACGAGATGCCCTTACCCATCCATCTAGAAGGATGGCAGAGTCGATTATTGATTGGAATTCAGTAGAGTAACTCTACCTCAGCATGTGTACTCAGTGCTATCCCCACGCAGCCTGACTAGCGGCCTTTACCATCGGACCTCTGGAGAGGCGGAGAGTGAACGAGCTTGCAGAATCGGGAGACGGTGACAAAAGTAGCAGTACGGTGTTCGAATCCTCTAGGCGTGTCTCAGTAAGGCACCAAACGTCCATGATAAGCGTTTCCAACGTGCGAGCGCGCGTTGCCTGAGCCCAACTTGCATAAGCGGTCGAAAGTAGCCAACTTCAGCTGCGACCGGGGCGCGAGTACAGTTTTCCGAATGACCTGAGCGTAGGTTTGTTTTTTCGCATGTTCACAAGATTGTGACCTATTCCGTTATCTTGAGAAACATTGTTGGAAACTCGAAACAATGAGCGGTAGACCGAGAATAGGAAAGTCCAACATTTGTGGATGGTGAGGGATGTGATTTGTTTGTGTGGTAACGTGGAAATCTGTACAGCCGACCCTCAAAACCTCGTCCAGATAGCGTATAGTTTGCATGCGAGTAAATTCGAAAATCTATAGACTATCTTCACCGGGTTGCGTAAGTATATTACTCTTCCCGGTTGCCCTGGAGGAAGAAAGAGGAATAACATCGGAGTCCCCACCCAAAACCTCAGGCCAGAAAGCGAAACCTAAAAGAGCGCCAGAAATAGCTCAGAGTCCGCAATCCATTGGTGGCCGGTTGCCAGTTCATCGGATCATACTCCCTTTGGACGAAGTCAAACGTGCAAGGTGCTCAATAAACCTCGATGCCCAATCGAGCCGGTGATGACTGTCATAACAGGGAAGGTGTAGGTGAATGTGTTTCGCATGCCTCTTTTTGATTGGTTTGGAATCAGGGCTTTTGGGCAAGTCCCTTAGGTGAACTGCCAGTGGTTCACCGACTCGTTTATAGCCCAGGACGTTTGATTTTCCTCTTCTGACTTTGATGGGAAAATACCTCCATCACTGGGAGGCAGTGAATATGGTTTCTTCAAGAGAGGCCATTTGAGACGCTTGGTTGTAAAAGAGCTTTTCGTGAGGTGTAACGGAGCGGTGACCGGTAAGAACTCGAGACACCCACCCTCGACCATACTAAGACTTTCAGAGGCAGACCCAAAAAGTCAAGCTTACCAGGGATCGCTGATTCCCATTGTTTGGTTTGCGGATTGAGCACCTTTAGTTCTAACGTACTGAACAGGACTTGTGTATACCAAGGTATCAAATCCAAATAGGCGACTCGGATAGAAAAGTCCGCACGGCTGATCAGCAGTGATTTTAATCCACCATCGGCCGTGCCCGAGCCGGTCACGTATCTGGTAACAGAGACTAGTGGCAATGTCTGAGCAGATACCTTGGATAGAGCGCTAGAAGAGAACACTGCACTCTTGGTGGCTAGCTGCGCGGAAGGCAGGGTGCTTAGAAGACGAGAATCAGCGGGATTTGCGGTTGTGTTGAATGGAATGGATGATTGAATCTGAACGGGGGAGTTCAGAATAAACACATTGCTTGAGCTTGCTGCTTTACACGCGTCTTGGATCTGGGTGCCCAAAAGACCGTCTAGAGACCACGGTGCTGAAAGGTATAGATAGATGAAGGTGATTACCGGCGTAACAGTGTATCACACAACTGGCTAAAAAAACAAACCTCAGGCGAACTCCGACAAAGAACATGTTGTGAAAGGTTATTAGACTCAAACGATGTTCCTAGTACTCACGACGAAAGTCTAGAGTCGAAACATTAGGTATGTCAACCGTGAAATGTTTGATTAGGAAAAACAAGGTCATTAGGATAACGTATCACAAGCGTATGATCCTATCTTTGAGTCATGACACAGAATTTTGAAGCAGGAATGAGTGCCGCCTGTGCGAAACTGAGACGAATCAAAGTGGTCTGGAAGATTGCCTCAACATTTTTTTACTGTACGGCAGTTAGGTCGTGTACAGAATCACTGTTTGCCTAGGAAAACAACATGAATCGTTTATTAGACAATCAAACGAGAATAACTCATAATAGCAACCCGGCTTCTCCCAGCTGCAAATAACAGACATATTGAACAACCCAGTACCAAACCTGTATGAACCGAACACTGCTAGCAAAGCGAAGCGACTTCAGCGGACTGCTATTAAGATTAAGTGAACAAGGGTGATGAGGATGAGAAATAGTTCTCGTTGAAGGAAAATTTATAACGAACCACTGCGGAGAACAAACAACACAGTCTGACTTGCCAGACGGTGAGAACGAAAGTCTCAATGAATCAGTTCGCTCTACCACCTATTAGTATCCGTGTCCCATCGGTGTCAGGATTGGTTTGACAATGCCTAGGGGGGAGTGTTCTCCTAAGCCTCTTCGTATACTTATTTTACCGAATCTTCAAGTGATCTATATGCGGCTTACTTCAAAATTCTGTACCAAATTCGATCAAAAACTGACAAGGGAGATGATTACTAAGCAGTAGTATCGGCTCGGGACTACAAGCTCATTTGATCATTCTGAACTAAGTTTTACACCAGGATATATCGATAAATCATCCAGAGCATCCAAAGCGTCCACAGCCTGGCTACTATCACTTACTTCACAAATGTTCACAACAAAAGATCAATCATCCCCATCCGAAGAAAGAAGTTCCGAATCAGGAGCGGTCGAGAGCAACCACGGAAATATAAAGATGTGAAGCAAGCAGTCAAAGGAGTATTATCTTCAATCATCAGTATGTGGACAAGAATGCCACCAAAGCAACAACAAAAAGGTACAGTGAAGTGAACTTTACTGATTGCTGCGAAGCTTACGGCGAATATAAAAATACGTGAGAATGCACGGGGTGAATGTGGATCAGGCCTTTTTTCAGCGAGGAAGAAAGAAAGTTAACCTATAGGGTCAGCACGCAGTGTACGACCTAACTGTGTACACCCATTCAAGAACTATGGCCCGATAAGAATTAACAACAAGAACGCCACTACTCACGATTGTGAGTAGTGCTCAATATGGAAACTACAGGAGTGCGCATCTATTGTTGGACTGTTCCACTAACTATCCTGTGTGCGTGTGGGAATTCTGAAGACTCGCTCCGAATGAGACAATTTTTTTATTACACACATTTGCGTGGTGAACAGCAAACGGGGCGAACCCCATAGTCACGAAAACCTGCTGCTTCGACATGGAAACCGGTAACCTAAGCCCAGGGACCCACAGTGGCAAACCACATAAGGCCCCGATAGGTTAAGTGTGGTATTAACCCGGACGACAGCGAAGCTGTCTACCACCAAAGTATGTATGCCCATTCACCGATACCCTGAGCGTTATTCATCATAAATAACTAGCCTCATCCCGGCACGGTTTTGTGAATTTATAACACAATGATAATAATAATGAGAAGGCATCATGTACGTATAGAAACTGTGTGGAAAAAGCAACTACAGAGAACAAAAGAGGGCAGACCAACAAGTGCTTTCGATTGTTTTACTGTACATTTTCTTATTTTTCCGTTCCTTTGTGCTTTTTGAGACCAAAATTCCAAACAGACCGTACGGTGTCCGTCCCTGATTTCTATTCTGAGGCATATTTCTGTATCCATACCCAACGATGACTCTCACTTCTTGGTCACCAACCTAGAAGGCGGGCCGCACCAACCAATGTTGACTTCCTCACGCTTCTAGGCCAAGTCAGGGTTTAACCGCCACGATGTTTCTTCTAGCCTTGTCAAGTATGTGAGTGCAGAGGAATAGATGATGAACAGACATGCGCAAAAATGACTGAGACTTTGGAGGTTGCGTACAGCGATCTACTCCTTTCGAGAATAACAATAAGAACCCAACACACGACGACGAACTACGACCTTCCTCACACGATGTGTCCATCAGAAAGGAGGAATACATTGAAGATACCACTTAGCATATTTAT